CCCCGCGGCGGGCGCGGGCCCCGCCGTGAGAGCCGCACCACCGCCCGGGCACTGTCGGAGGCAGTGAGCTGCGTCCCCCCACCTCGGGCACCCTGGACGCGGGAGCCGGGTCCCCCTGGCTAGGCCTGGTCACGGACTGAGCACGCAGGAGGTCGCAGGGTTTTGTATCCATCCTAACAGCCTGACGACCGAAGAGAAAAAAAGGAACGAGGACCATAAGAGCTTAGCGTGGACACTATGCGGGGAAGACAGTGGGGACTTCACCTGGCTCAGGGCAGATGTGCCCGGAGCCTACTAGGCCAGACCTAAGCACCAGAGACCAGGTATCTCCGCAGCCACGACCTGGGCTCTGACCAATCTGGGCCGGGAAGACCGTCAGTGCCTGGCTTAATTAAACCTGGCGCAAGGAGCTGTGCCCTCACCTGAGACAGAGCACAGGGTTCCAGGAACCCAAATCTGGACTGGCTGAAAGCAGTGCCCGCTGGTGACCCAGAGCTGATCACTGGGGAGCCCACACCCTGCCTCAGTCCCTCTGGTGCGGATGTGTCGCTGCCCCTTGGAGCACCATGACGGCAGGATGACCTCAGCCAAAGCAGCGGCAGTGGCTGGTGATGCTCAGGTGGCTGGGCCCCCTGAGTGGCCCCCTGGCAGCCCCCAGACCCTGGGGCAACCTGGACGGCTCCGGGTGGCAGTGGCAGCTCTGGTGTGGCTGCTGGAGCGCTGGTGTGGCTGCTGGCAGGAGCCAGCATGTCAAGCCTCAACAAGTGGATCTTCACAGTGCACGGCTTCGGCAGGCCCCTGCTGCTCTCGGCCTTGCACATGCTGGCAGCGGCACTGGCATGTCATTGGAGGGCACGGCGCCCCATGCCAGGGAGCGCCCACCGGCGAGTGCTGCTGCTCAGCCTCACCTTTGGCACCTCAATGGCCTGCGGCAACGTGGGCCTGAGCGCTGTGCCCTTGGACCTGGCGCAGCTGGCCACCACCACCACCCCGCTCTTCACGCTGGCCCTGTCGGCGCTGCTGCTCGGCCGGCGCCACCACCCTCTGCAGTTCGCTTCCATGGGCCCGCTGTGTCTGGGGGCTGCCTGCTGCCTGGCAGGAGACCTCCGGGCACCCCCCGCTGGCTGTGGCCCACCTGCCTCCGAGGCCTCAAGTCCGTTCAACAGAGTGAGTGCCCGGATCACCAGCTGAGGAGGTGGGAGGGTGGTCAGGGTGGGTGTATGACCTGGAGGGCCCTGTGAGGGGTGTGGCCGTTACCCATTTTACAGGTGAGGAAACTGAGGCTTATGACTTTGGAGGAGGCAGAAACCGAGACTCAGAGAAAGAGGCTCAGTGAGTTCCAGGCCCCAAACTTGGGTGATCTGTGTCCCGTGTTCCGTCTGGCCCTGTATCTTGCTGGATCCCCATTCTGTCCCCATTTAGGCAGTTACTTTATTGTCCCCATTAGATCAAGAGATGAAGGGCTTTTCCCAGGCCATGTGGCCAGTGAGCAGCATGGGAAAGATTTGAACCCAGGTAGACAGACTCTGCCATCCAAGTGATCTGGCATATGGCTGTGGACATGGAGGCCAGAAAGCATAGACCAAGGAGAGAGAGAGGACAGGGCCTCGAGTGAGGACTTGGAAAGCAAGGCGTTTGACTAAGTCTGGGAAGGGCTGATGTTTCCTAGGAGCTGACAGGCCTAGGCTGGGTGTTGACCTTGAGTTGTCATGGCAACTGTCACCTTCATCCCCACTTTACAGACGATGGGACTGAGACCCAGAAAAGATTGTGATTCGCACAGGGCACATAGCTCCTAAGGATCCGAAGCCTGGTTCTGGTCCGCGTGACTAAGACAGGTCTAATGAGGCTCTGGGCAGAGGGTAGGGCGGAGGCTCCAGGCCAAGGCCCTGTGAGATCACTGCCTGAGGGTGGGAGCTGGCCTTCTGCTCTCCTGCCGAGAGCCATCTGTGTCACAGCCCCCACCATCACTGTCTGAAGAGACGTGGAAGAGGCCAGGACACCCACTCGAGGTGGGGAAGCCTGCATTCCAGTCGTGTCTTTGCTCAGACTTGCTGGCTGACCTTGGGCAGGTCCAGATCTTATCTGGGCCTCAGTCTCCCTGTCTGCTCAGTGGAGGAGGGTTGGAGCTGATGGCATCCAAAGGGCCTCTTGTCCTCTTTCCCATCCAACTCTGAGATTCTGTGACCCAGACCTGGGAGAAGAGGGAGAAGGAGCCTTCTTAGGATATAACGCTGAGCTGGGATTGAGGGCAGCCTGCAGCTGGGGAACAGTGAAGTCAGACTTTAGCCCTGCCCTGGCATCTTTGGAACCGGGATCCAGAGGGCCCTGTCCCCATCCTGAGGCAGGGCCAAAACCCAGTTCTATTTTTGCCCTCAGGTTACATGAGAGCTGGGGACTGAGCTAGGGCATGAGAAACCTGACCCCATGGGGCCCTCCTGGGCAGGCCACAGGCTCTGAAGTCTGGCCCTCGAGGCCTGCACTGTCCCTGCTGAGGCCCAGTGTCCTGCACAGTGCCCGGGCAGCCCCAGCCTGCAGTGGGCCAGGCCTCAGGCAGAGAGTGGCATGTGCATGGCTTCAGTCTGCTTCTTGGCTTCTGCCAGCTCCCTCCTTCCCTCCCAAGTCTCACCTCGTGACCCTTGGGTGGGTGGGTACTTGTTCTGGGCTCCTGTGGTGCCCTCTGCTTTCCCCATAGGCTCTGAGTGTCCTTAGTTACAGCTGCTCGGTTACCTGGCTGCTTCCCGCCAGGCAGGCTTTGGACATCGGTGTCCCCAGCACCTGGCCCAAGGCAGGTACTCCGTGAACAATGGGTTTATTGATGGCTCTGACCAATGAATTGGTAGGCTGGTTAGACTGCATGGCTCTGGATGCTAGGGAGGCTGTTTAGCAGGTTGGAGGCCCCACTCACAGAGATGGGAGCCCCACAAAGATGGGGAGGGACAGGCAGGAGCCGGGGCCTGAGGTGGGTTTTAAACAAGTGGTATTTACTGCCAGAGGCTCCAGGAGAGGCATGGGGTCAAATTCAGACTAGAGTGGAAATGGCTTCTGTCCTATTCCTGAGAGATTCCATCGGAGCAGAAGACCAGAGTCCAGGAAGAGGAGAGCCCAGGCAGCTGGGGGTAGAGCCAGCAACTTCCCTTCAGGGGGTTCCCTGGGGAGAGGGTGATGCCACCCTCCCACCCACTTAACTGGGGCCAGCGTGCTGAGTGCATTCCCAGCCAAATCCCTCAACCCCTCACTGCGGGTCACAGAGCAGCCTGACTCCATCCCTGCCCTCTGGGCTCGCAGGCCGACTGGGGAAATGCACTCGGAAGCAGAGACCACCTTAGCAGGAGACACTCTGGAGCCCAGGTGGGCACAGGCCTGGTTGCTTCTCCCTGGAGACCCTGAGACGGCTGCTGGGCAAGGAGGCCTGCCGCAGTGACCAGAGCAGTCCTGTGATTACAACAGCAGACGCTTGCTAAGCCACCTGGGTGTCCACGTCACACCCACCTCTTTACTTGGACAGCAGGAAAGGGTGTGCTGGGAATGGGAGACAGGCTGTCAGGGCACAGGGCATCAGCTGGCAGGAGCAGAGTGGGAGACCTCACGGCTACCCCCTGACACCAGGCCCTGCATTCAACACCTCACGTAGCCCTAAGAGGCGGGAGTTGGCACCCTACCCGTACTATTGCGGGAGACTGAGGCACAAAGAGGGGACTTCCCTAATGTCATGCGGCTAGTGGAGGACCACAGGGCATAGCAAGCAGACAGGGCTTACCTACTAGTATTATTATTATTATTAGTAGTAGTAGTAGTAGTAGTAGTATTTAAATTCACAGGAAGTGTGCATACACTCACCAGAGGGGAGGGAGAAAATACCCCACCCCACCCCCCCGTGAGGAATTGGTCAGACTGTGATTCCTCCTCCATTTCCACCCCCCATGAGGAATTGGTCACACTGTGATTCCTCCTTCATTTCCCCGTCCTTATGGGATCCTGGGACACATACGCACATGTGCCTGGTGTGTTTTTCAAGCCACAGGGAATGGAACTGCACGGTTGGCCATGTGGATCTATCTGCCTTAACCACAAGGCCACCCCAATTTTTACTTTAATTAAAAAATTTTTTTAGAGGGGCCAGCAGGTGCTACCACCCCAATTTTTACTTTAATTAAAAATGTTTTTTTAGAGGGGCCAGCAGGTGATGTGGTGGTTAAGGCCACTGGACCCTCCCACATGGCTGAACATGGTTTGAGTTCTGGACCTATGGGCTTACTTTCTCACGTTTCCTCTGTTGCTCTGTCCCTCTCTGATCAAACTAAAAGCGATAGATAGATAGACAGATAGATAGATAGATAGATAGACAGATAGACAGATGTAAATGAAAGAATTCTTTATTTTATTTTATTTTTTTTTTAGAAACAAGGCTCACTATTTTGCCCTAACTAGCCTCGAACTTGTGATCCTCCTGTCTCAGCCTCCCAAGTAGCTAGGGTTACAGGCATGTGCCAGTATGCATAGCTTCAGACGGGGTTTAGAGAAGGGTCAACTCTTGTCTGCACATAGCAGAAAGCTTGGGCATATCAGATACTGAGACAAAAATGCCTTTGGAGAAGGAGAGCTTGAAATAGATTTGGGGAAGCTGACAGGGGAAGGGCTACCTGAGATGACAAGTTGACAGGCTGACAATTTGGGGGTCCCAGGTCAGGGTGAGTGACCTCTGAAGGGGGATCGATCATACCCTTTTCCTGGGCTATAAGGAAAGGAGGCTGGATGCAGAGCAGATGCAAGGGGTTGGGTGGGGAGGTCGGAGGTCCTGCCTGGCTGCCTTGCAGAGGGTGAACCTCCCCTTCGAAAACCCAAACGTCTTCCTACAGTGGGACCTTTAATGTGCTGGCCACAGGCCACTTGTCAGGGTGCTAAATTTGGGGCCGTGACCAGAAGGCATTTCAATTATCTGCTCATTTCTGAAACGTTAGAGCCGGAGGGACTGTTGCCTAGAGAACAGAGCTGAAACATCAGAAAAAATTAAGAGAGAAATGAAATTTCCCATTCTAAGCATAGCCTATGAGTAAGCATCTCTGTGGCTCCTAGGAAAGTGTGTGTCAGAGAACTGCAGCTGGGAGGGGACCTGTATTGATTACTCATTTCTCTCCACTAGAACTTGGAGGAGGTCCCGGACCATCATTGCCATCATGCAAATATTGTCATTTCACCTGGGCTGGATATGAGTTGAATGTTGGCACTGGTTCCCTTTGAGAATTGTCTGCAGGGTAGCATGTGCACCTTCCCGCACACAGGTGCACATTCATGCAATTTTTTTGTTTGTTATAGGGTGCATGTGTTTACCAGAGAGAGACAGAGGAGAGAGAAAGTGAGAAATTATCCCCCAGGGGGATGGTCACACTGCAATCCCCTCTTCATTCTCCTGTCGGGATTTCGGGCATGCATGTACATGCGCCCGGCATGTTTTCAAGCCACCGGGTGGGTCCAGGACTCACACTGTGCCATCGGCCTTGCGGGATCCAGCTGCCTTAACCTCCACACCACCTGCTGGCCTGTTCCCCTCTTTCTTTGCAAAGCTCAGAGGTTTTCTTTTCAGGAAAACTTTTTTCTTTCCCAGGGCCTGGGTTCATTTGTACAAGCCCCACCAGTGTTAGAGGCAAAAAATGGGGTAGAGAAAGCAGTGGTATGGTGGGTAAGGTGCTGGACTCTCACATGGCTGACCACAGTTTGAGTCCCAGACCTGGCAACTTGCTTTCTCACTTAACCTTTCTCTCTCTCTGATCAAATTAAAATAATAATAATAGCAAAGAAAAATAATTCTTAAAGAAAAATAATGCTAATTATCAATTATAAGCTGAGTGATGGCCGAGAGCTAGCCATGAATTCCTCGTGGTTGTGCTTCTGTCACCCCATTGGTTAAAGCAGTGAAGTAATGAATGGACCCACAATCTTGACTACAACTTACAACTTTAAGACTCTTCCTGGACCAGCCTTATAGCCTAGTGGTTAAGGGAGCCTGATACCATATGGCCAAGTGGCTTGAGAAACACACCAGGGGCATGAGCATGCATGCCCCAAATCCCAACAGGATGGACATTCATATGGAGAAGATAGGATTGCATTGTTACCATGTCCCATTGGGAGAGCTTGCTCCCTCTCTGTTTTTCTCTCTGGTAAGTGTACATGCCCTCTGGCAATTAAAAATAAAACACAACTATTTTTGTGTGTGCTTTTTTAAAGAATTATTTATTTTATTTTACTTAATTTTAAAACTGCCCTTTTTATTTATTTTTTTTTTGAAAGGTTTTTGCTATAGGGCACATGCACTCACCAGAAAGACAGAGAGAGACAGAGAGACAGAAAGCAAAAAATCACCCCCCGGGGGGGATGGCCATGCTGCAAACCCTTCTCCTGCATTCTCCTCTCAGGATCTTGGGCACGGTGTGAGTTTAAGCCACTGGGTCCAGGACTCAAACTGCGGTTGACTACATGGGAGTCCAGCAACATAGCCATTACGTGAACTGCTGGTCCCTATTTTTAAAACTTTATATATGGCACGTGCACTCATCAGAAAGAGAGAAAGAGAGAGGGCAAGCCACCAGGTCTGGGACTCAAACTGGGGTTGGCCATGCCTTAACCACCATGCCACCTGCTGCCCCCTTCTTGTTTTTTAATGTAAAACTTAGTAAGTGGCAGAACTGGGACCTTGTGCTGGCCTGTCCCTGCTGCGGTGGCTGGAGTTGCAGTATGAGGTTCTAGTGGGTATGGTAAGCACAGAGGCTAGGAAAGCTGGGTCAGGTCCAGTTGACGCAGGGTCTTCAAAACTGGGTTAAGGAAGTAGGACTTTTTCTCCCAGGGCCTTGGGAGCAACTCAAGATTTTTTTTTTCCCCCTCGAGCCACTTTCCAGCTTTACTGACCATTTGGATCTCTCAAGCAGATTATTCAAAGTAGGTTATAACAGGCTTATTTGTTTTATTTTATTCCACCTACTGAGTACTTACCTTATAAGGGCACTATGTATGTTATCTTTTTCAAAGTTTATTTATTTTACTTTTTTATTTTTAATTTTCGCTGTAGTGTACGTGCATTGGACAGAGACAGGGAAAGTGAGAAAGCACCCCTAAGGAGGATGGCCACACTGCAATCTGCTGTCCTTGGGATTTTCGGCACACACGCACACATACCCAGGGTATTTTCTCAAGCTGCTGGTCTGGGACTCGAGCCACGATGGTCTGCTATGTGGGATCCAGCTGCCTTAGCCACTGTGCCACTGGCTGGCCCTATACCTTTCTTAACAAGGCAATGCATTTATTTTTCTTTACAACATCACCATATATTAGGTTTTTTTATGACCCAGCTGCAGGGGAGGAAATTGAGTTTAAGTGCCTTTTGTAAGCCCAGGTCACATCTAGTCAGGAGTAGACACAGGTCACAAATCTAGGTGGTCTGACATCAATGCTTGACTCACATTTCAGGGCAGGGACCACTGATCCTACGAGGGGGTAGGGCCGGCTTCCTGGAGGACAGGTCATGGAGGTGGAACTGGGTTGGCTGACTGGGGGGCTGTCTCACTGGGTGCTGACGGCTACTGTCTGGTTGCAGGTGCCCTGCTGCAGGAGGAGAGGCTGGACGCGGTGACCCTGCTATATGCCACCTCGCTGCCCAGCTTTTGCCTGCTGGCGGGTGCAGCCCTGGTGCTTGAGGCTGGAGCGGCCCCACTGCCCGCTCCCACCGACTCGCGCCTCTGGGCCTGCATCCTGCTCAGCTGCCTCCTGTCTGTGCTCTACAACCTGGCCAGCTTCTCCCTGCTGGCTCTCACTTCCGCCCTCACCGTCCACGTCCTGGGCAACCTCACTGTCGTGGGCAACCTCATCCTGTCCCGGCTCCTGTTTGGTAGCTGCCTCAGTGCCCTCAGCTACATGGGCATTGCACTCACCCTTTCTGGAATGTTCCTTTACCACAACTGCGAGTTTGTGGCCTCCTGGGCTGCCCACCGGGGAGTGTGGCGGAGGAACCAACCTGGCAAGGGTCTTTGAGATCTGGGAGAGCTCACAGGATGGCCTCAGCCTGAATCCGTCTTCAGACAGTGGCTTTGGGGAGCAGGTGGCCAGCACTGTTGGGGCAATTGAAGGAGGAGGCACCTTCTGGAAGGGCTCCCCGAAAGACTTACCTCCATCCCTGCCTGTATCACTCCATCAGACTCCGCTCACCGCTGGACGGTGGGCCCAAGACTAGCGCAGTCGCTGTGCCTGTCGGAGTAATCATCGTGATTAGTGTCTATGATGGCCACAGTGAAAATCGCTGGGCAAACTTGGAAAACCTCAAAGTGATACAGTGTCGACAAAGACAATTCGTGGCAGTTACACAATCCTTCCTCCAGTCGGGATGCAGCTGGGGGCCCAGAGAAGGGCTTCTTTGCTGCTGGACTCCCCGGAGAGTTGGGGTAATCTGTGCCAACTCCAGGCAGCTGCTGTGGCCTCACCCTTGGGCCTCTTAATTTTGGGTCTTCCGTCCTCAAATAAAATATTTTTCCTTGTATACCTGTGTCACTTCTTGGGAGTACATAAGCCAAGGTACTATCAGGAGAGTGGTGGACCACCCATGCAGAAACTAGAACATCCTCCCTACCCACCACAGCCTGGCCAAGCCCCCCACTATACTCCCTCCACTGGCTGGCCAGGCAGCATTGTCCATCTTCTGGGTTCTGCCCTGGGTGCTCTCTTCCATCTTCCACATAGCCCCCTTCAGCTGAGGGGTCTTTCTAAAACATAAATGGGGGCCAGGTTGTGGCACAGCAATAATGCAACTGGACCCTCCCAGGACCTCCCTAAGCACGCCAGGTACACAATTATGTGCTGTGACCTGGGCTTGCTGAGGGTGGGGGTAGGTCTTGGCATAAGGAAACTTGTTGGGATGGCTCTCTCTCAAGAAATAAATAGAGGGACCAGCAGTTGGCATAATGGCTATGTCGCTGGACTCCCCTGTAGTCAACCACGGTTCGAGTCCCAGATCCGGTGGTTTAAACTTATGCCGGGCACGTGTGCGTCTGTGTCCAAGATCTTAAGAGGAGCATGGAGGAGAAGGGATTGCAGTGTGGCCATCCCCCCTGGGGGGTGATTTCTCACTTTCTGTCTCTGTCTCTCTGGTGAGTGCACACGCTCTATAGCAAAAACCTCTCTGGAAAAAAAAATAGAGTCAGCAGATGACGTGGTGGTTAGAGCACCGAATTCACACATGACCAACCATGGTTTGAGTCCCAGACCCAGGGGAGTTGGCTTAATGGCTATGTCACTGTACTCCATGTAGGCAACCGTGGTTCAAGTCCTGGACCTGGTGGCTTAAACTTATACCAGGTGTGGTATGTGTGTGCCCAAGATCCCAAGAGAACACTGGAGGAGAAGGGATTGCAGCGTGGCCATCCCCCCAGGGGGTGATTTCTCACTTTCTCTTTGTCTGTCTTTCTGGCAAGTGCATGCTCCCTATAGCAAAAAAAAAAAAAAAAAAAAAAAGATTCACACTGGGTGTATGTGCATTGCAGCATGGCCAACCCTCTTGAGTAGGGAGTAATTTTTCACTTTCCCTTTCTTTTTCCTACGAGTGCACAGCCCTACGACAAAATAAATAAATTGTTGTTGGGCACATGAGCTAAGACAGGAAAAGAGAAAGTGAGGAAGTACCTTCCAGGAGAGATGGCCACACCGTGATCCTTTGTCTACTCTTGAGACCTTGGGCATGCACGCACATGCGTCCAGCATATTTTCAAGTCACCAGGTCCATGACTTGAACCACGCAATCAGTCATGTGGGATCCAACCACCTCAACCACCATGCCACTGGCTAGCCCAAGCCTGTTTCTATATCTGCAAAATGGGGCTGATAATCCTCAGTACTGAATGAGGAGCCCAATAGGCAGAGCCTGGAGTAAGGAAGGAGTTGACAGTACCTATAGACTCTATCCCTCTCTGGAGCTAGTTGGTCACCTTTTTTGAGGCTCCAGACTCACCTGGATCATGTTTTCCCTGTGTGTGAAGACAGGAGTTGGGGGCGACCAGGCTAGAGCTGAGGTCTAGGGAGACGGGGATCTGGGGAAGAATCACCCCCTTCTTCCGTGTAACTAGAATGGATAAAGGACCACTGCCACAGGCAGGGCTCTGTGAAGAGGTCAGCCCAAGGCTGGTTGGGGTGGTATTGGAGGCAGGGTGGCCGGGCAGTGAGGACCTGGGAGGACTGACAGGGCTTCCTGGCCACAGTCTCCACCCAGGCTGGCCTTGCAGGGGGGGAAGTGGGTTTGGGCTGAGTCACCTACTACCCACCCTCCCTGTGACTCAGAGATGCCACTGGCCTGGCCCAGTCCCTGTATAGTTTGGACACTTCAGGACTGCACTCCAAAGCTTGGCCAGGCAGGACAGAGGGACTGGTGGCTTCAGTTGGGCAGAGTCTCCTTGGTGACTCAGGGCCCTTCCCTATTTGAGAGGGCCCACTGCCATAGCAGAGGCTTCCCTGCACCTCACCCTCACTCCCGGGCCTTGTGGAATGCTTGGCTAGTGAATGAGTCTGTCAGATCAAAGCCTGCCCCTGATGGTTGTGGGGATGGGTAACTGGAGATGTGCATGACCTGGGAGCTGGCTCACCAGATTCAGGACCATTAGACATGGTGGAGATTTCCCCAAGGCTACAGCCAAAGCCCTCCTTAGTGCTTCTCCCATCTGTGGGCACAGGGAGCACTAGACCCAGAGTCAGAGAGCCGGGGGTGGAGCCCTGCCCCTCCCAGGCATGGTAGATCTTAGGGGCCTCTCCTGGCCTCCCAATGTTTCTGGGAATGAAGATCGCAGAGATGACCAGCAGCCAGGGTCAGGAAGAGTCACATTGAAAAGTCCTTGTCCCTCTAGGTTCTGCCTCTCACTAGCTCTGTGGCCTCGGGCAAGTTGTCTCACCTCTCTGAGCCTGTTTACAGCAGCCAGTCTCTGCTGGGAAGACTTCTCCAGATAACAGATGTCCCCTTCCTGGGGAGGTCCCTCCCTGCCTCCACCCCTGCCCATACCACACCCAGCTGAGTTCAAAGCTCCAGTTGAAGGTCACCCTCACCCCTGCACCTCGCTGGACAGTTCCCTGACCACCTCTCACACCCAGAGCTGGATTGTCATCTCTTCTTGGTTGGATGGGTCTCTTCAGGAGGGCTCGGTGCTGTCTCCCCAGCACCAGCAGTGTCTGCCTTGGAGGTAGAAAAGAATGCTATTCAAAGCCAGGGGCTCTGGACTGGCTCTGTAGTCTGATGGTTAAGGGGGCCAGATCCCACATGGCCAACCTCGCCCTAGTGGCTTGAAAAATCCATGCTGGGTGCATGTGCATGTGTGCGCACCAAATCCTGACAAGATGGAGAAATGGAGGAGAAAGGATTGTGGTCTGACCACAGTCCATTGGGGAGTGCTTTGTCTCTCTCCCTGTCTGTCTTTGGTGAGCACACACACCCTCTGGCAAATTAAACAAACAGGGCTCTGGGATGAGATCAGTGTTCAAATCCTGTCTCTGGCATGTCTGAGTTGTGTGACCTTGGGCAAGGGCCTCCCACAAACCCTCCCCCTGTCCACACCGCCGTGCCTCTGTGTGTCCAGTGGGGGCTGCAGTAAGGCCCTGTCCCCACCCCATCCAGCTTCAGGAAGCTGTAATGGGCTAATGTAGGGCTAGTGCTTGGCAACAGTGCCCTAAACGCAGGTCCTCGCTCAGCAAACTGATGCTCATTACAGACGCGCCTCCATTCCTCCTCCCAGGACTTCTGCTCTCTCCCCACTCCTCAGCCTTCCACAGCACATCTAGAGCCCCGGGACAAGCGCCCACCAGCAGGACAGAGAGGACACCCCAGCTTCTCACCCCCTTTCCCTGCCACGGAGGAAGCCAGGCCTGTGCCGGGCATCCTGCCATTGTGGGCTTCAGAACAAAGCTTGGTCTCAGCCCCGGCTGCCCTCACCCGCCCCTGTTGGCCCTTGATTGTCTTTCCAGGGGGTCAGGGCAAACAAGGACTCTCATTGCTCCCAAATCAGCTCGGGGATGCCAGAATCTCCACCACCACACTGTTCCCGCTCAACTGCAAATACTTCCTGGAACTCACCCTTAACGTGGAGGGCCATTTAGTGGGGAGCCATGGAAGGTGAGGAACAAAGAGGCGGAATGGTGAAAAAACATTTCCCAGTAAACTAGACCTCCACCTTAGTCTGCATGCTACATGGAGAGAAAGTTGGAGGGGCTTGAAACAGAAAACAGGGAGACCAGGAAGGCCTGTTGAGTCTCACCTTTGATTCAGGTGAGAAGAAAACAGTAGAGACAGTGGGGGGGAGGGGCAGATTGTCAACTGCATTGATTTGGAGTGTTACATAAAAACTGAAAGAGGCATCCTATGGCAAAAATCTAAAAAAAAAAAAAATGTATACCTATATGTAAAAAAAATTATACATATACACAATATATCTATAGATAGATATTGATAAATAGCCATTATTTTGAACTAGGCTCCTACACTAGGCTACAGAGCAGACTAAAATTCAAATGGAAGGTAGGCCCTGTTGCCTAATGGTTAAGGGAACCAGATCCTACATAGCCGACCGTGGTTAGAATCCTGTTTCCAGCAGCATAAAAAATTTACCAGGCATGTATACGTGTATGCCCCGAATTCCTACAGGATGGAGAAATAGAGGAGAAAGGATTGGGGTGTGACCATACCCCATTCAGGGGTGATTTTTCTCTCTGTCTCTCGTGAGTGTACATACACTCTAGCAATTAAAAAATATATATATAGGTGGCCAGGCCAGCAGGTGGTTGGTGGTTAGGACACTGGACTCCCACATGGCCTACCACAGTTTGAATCCTGGACCTGTCGACTTGAAAATCACACTGGATGCATGTGCGTGCAAGCCCAAGCTCCCAAGAGGAAAATGGAGGAGAAGGGGTTACTGCATGGCTATTCCCCCTAGGGGGTGATTTTTTACTTTCCCTTTTTCTCTTGTCTCTTCAAGGAGCGCACATGCCCTATAGCAAAACTTAAAAAAAAAAATTACAACAATTTAGATTTTAATTGACTTTATTTGTGATTCTTGAGTTAAGCAACCTTTCATTTTTTGAAATAGAGTAAGTGTTCTGATGTGCTGAGCAGAAGTTTTTACAAACAGAGAAGAGCTGAAGAAAGCAGAAACAAACAAACAAAAAAAGAAATGGACCGGTTACTTCTGCTTTACTTTCCTTGTAAGGTGAGAGCCAGAAGACAGAACAAAATAACTAATTGGATAACACTAGGTCACTTCAGGGTACTTTTTACTGTAAAGATTAAAGCCAAGGGAGTGTCATTCTTATGCAAAGAGACACTGGTCTGTTTGGAAAATCTGGCTGTTCTCATTCTTCTGATTGCTCAGGTCAGATAAACAGCTTAGTTTCAGCTTGATGACATATAACTTTAGCATGAATTACATTTTTTTTTTTTTTTTAGGTTTTTGCCACAGAGCACATTCACTAATGGGAGGGAGACAGAGCAAGGGAAAGCGAGGACTCACC